TAGCTTGCTCACGTGGCGTGGTGGGGCTCTCTTGTACCACCCGGGATCAGCAAGGCTTGCACGTTGCACCAAGTGTTGACAGAAACTGAGTTTCTCAGAGGTGCACAGGGTGGCCCTTGCTTTTGTCTCTTGACATCTCCGACTGCCCTGCGATGAGGGTGCCATGGGTCCCTTCCAAGGAAGCAAGGAGCAGCCGTTTGTGTCCGTGCTTGCCGGTGTCCCAGGGACTTGGGGCATGGGACACATGCTGCTTGAGTCTCTGCAGCTGGCTATTTATGAGTGCATGGAGGGGGCACCCTTGTGTGCCCCCTCTGCTCCTCCCTGCTTTGCAGTGCTGACAGCGAGAGCCCGGCTCCCTGGCCTGGCACTGCTGCAGGGACTCCCTGATCTGTCTTGTGATTCGAACCCTGATGGAAATGTGCAGGAGCTGCCTTATGTTTTCTGTGGGAAAGTAGAGGGTCCCTCAGCTATTTGAGCCTTCATTTCTGTGCTTTTCTTGTTGCTTCCTCTGCACACAGCGGCTCCGTCTCCCCGCACGCCTCCGCATCTCCCTGCTGCCCATCCCTACCCCTCACCATGCTCTCTGCCCAGCTCGGAGCTGTGCAGCCTCACGCCAGTGCTCATCCCAGTACGCAGGGTCCTCTGCCACCCCTGCCATCCCACCGGGGCAGGAGCCACCTGGCTAAATGGTGGGACCCCTGGGGAGGTGTCAGTGAATACATGCATGCTGGCTTCACATGGTGCCCTTGTACAACCTTGCAATCCCCAATGCAATGCCCCCTTGGCTCCCGTTGTACGGGCAGAGACCACTCAGGTTTGGTGCTGCCCCGTGGCAGCCCCACCGGTCCCTGCCGGGCGGAGGTGGCCTAGGTCTGAAGGAAGGACCCTGCTGTTTTGGTGATGCCCTCCTCAGGTCTGTGTAAGTTGGCCCTAGCAAGGTGGAGGTGAAATAGAGAAGGCTGCGCATTGAAACGGGAGGCGGCAGTGTGATGGAGATCCGGCCGGAGGGCTCGCAGCATCCCCAGGATCCCCGAGCCGCTCCAGCAGATGGCTGCAGCCCTCCCGCCCTGCTCTAAGGAATACAAATGTGCGGCAGATACGGTTACCCAGCCCCGAGAGCAGTGTTAGCTTTCATCTAGATCAATATCCCTGCCTGCCTGCGTCTGAGGGAGCACTCAGCTGGCAACCCAAGCCCAGCCAGGAGGAGACACCCGCCGAGGTGCTGCTGCCCGCTCCAGATCCTGACTGTCCGTCTGCCTCAGCATGGAGGCAGAGCCAGTGCCGACTGCAGCGCCGTTGCCGTGCTGTCGGACTCCGTCATGCGTAAAATGTAATAAATAGGGCCATAAGCCTTTTACGAAGTCTATTTCCACTCTTGGATCCGGGATTTAATGCATGGCTGCTTAGAGAGGCTGAGGATTTCAGGGGTCAGCAAGGCTAATTGCACTGCTGGAATAAAAGGGTGCACGGCAGGATCCTGCGCGCGGGCCGGAGGGGGTACTGGGGGTCCCAGCTGCCTGCCGCACTGCCTTGGCCTTGCGTGCTCCCTCCCAGCAGCCTGGGAAAGCAGCAGCCACGTGCGCTGGCTTGGCAAGGGATGCAGTCCCCGGGGAGCGCTCCTTGGCTGGATACTGGTGGCTTTTGGGGCTGGGGGGTCCATGCCAGCTGGGGAGTCATATGCTGCAGGTGTTCAGTTCCCCACTGCTCCATGGTATCCCTGGGCGTCTGACTGAGCATGTCTGGCTGGAGCGCTTGATCTTAGATTACCTGGAAGCCAGGGAAAGCCTCTGTGGGGGCCGAGGGCCAGTGAGGATCAGGGCTGTCCTGGTGCAGGCTAGTACTGCCGGGCTTCGCTGGCTCCGGTGCCAGCTCATGCCCAGCCTGCAGCATCACCTTTAGCTGCAGAGGGGAGCTGGGTACTGTCCTGCCAGGCTACACGCTGTGCCAGCTGGCCCCGACACCACAAGCTGGGGCGTGAATGAGTGTTTGTGCTCAGAGGTGGTGGTACGGCTGGGGAGACAACCCCACCAGGAGTGGAAATGAAGCACCAGGGCGAGAGCCAGGGGCACAGACCTGGCCGGTGCTCTGGTGCTGGGTGTTCGCCGGGCCGGCATGGGGCTGGGGGTAGGGACCCAGACTGCGCTTTCATGGAGGTGTCAGGAAGACACCGATGGGATGGGCAGGCTCCACTTCACGGGGACAACTGACAGCCAGCACACACCCTGTAAGGCAAGGGAGACCCAGATGCCCAGAGGCTCCCAGCGCTTTGCCCTGTGCCAGCCGGCCACGCAGGGCTGGCAGAGCTGTGCTGCTGGCCATGGCAGACGGAGGACGCCAGCTCCACTCAGTTACTTTCCTGGCTGATCCCGTCATCTCCATCTCGCGCCAAGTGCTGAAGTCGTCATGGAAACCGGTACGGCGGCAGCTTCTCCAGCAGCTCCCGCGCGGGATCCTCGGTCTGAGCGCCCAGCTGGCGCTGGTCTGCCGCAGTGGTGGCGGGGGGCCCTTGCTGCTGGTCCTTATTCCTCGAGGGCATCAGTCTGCTGCTGGGCTCCAGCGATGCACACGCACGGTCACTTCCCTTGTAACAGGGCCCAATCCGTTAGCGTTCACCAATCCCAGAGAGCACCTTGCAGAAAGCACAAAAAAAAGCCCTATAGTATTGCTATTAATAGTGCCTGTTCACAAAGTTATCTTTAGCAGCACCGTTCACACCTTTATTCATAACAGCCATCGCACGGGCTTGATTCTTCTCCCTGCTGCCCAAGTGGCTTTGACCTCCCCCTGTGCCCCACTCACCCCATGCTTCTACCGCTCACCAGCATTTCATTTGGCTGTGGAAAGAGACGGTCTGCAAACCTTTCCCTGCAGTGGGAAATGGAGCGGGATTTTTTTTCCAGGGTTAATTTTTCTCTGGTGACCGTAACTCTGAACTCTGCTTGCCTTCGCCTCTCCTCCCACGTTGCTCCTGTCCAGCGGGGCTGTGTCGTGCCAAAGGCTTTCTCCCTGGAGCATCCCTGCTGGAAGTCCACACTGGTGCTGGGATTTTGCTTGATCAGAAGAGAAGGCAGTGCCTGAACTTGACTATCGGGGATGGAGTATTTTCCACTTGTATTTCAGTGGGTGTTTTCATAGGTTTCAAGCTATGGTCCTCTTTTCCCGGCATCTTCCATCTTCAGAGCTCATGCAGGCTCCTGGCAGGGTGCAGGGCTTTGAAGGGGCTTTGAGGCTTCATGAGTTCAGCCCACCGCTTTGAGGCAGCATCTCCTACCACTGCCAGGGAAAGGCCTATTTCTGTTCTTGAATCCAGCAGTCACAGAGTTCCTCGGGTTCCCAGGCTAATCTGTTCCTACCTTTAACGAGCTGCCTCATTAAAGTGTTTTTCCCTAATAACCAACCCTCCGGGCTGGGTGAGAGGCTGGTGATGTTCGACTGTAGACAACAGGAGACCTTCAGGCTGCAAACGGCTTTTCCAGCTGCTTGCGGGGTGCAGGATGAACACCAGCCCTCTCCTCCTGTGTGGTGCTGGCGAGACTGTGAAGAGGGGCAGCAGCCCAAAGCACCCCAAACCATGCCTCTCCTGGGCTCCAGCACCAGATTTACTGGACCCACAAACCACAACAGTGCAGCTGAGGGGGGCAGGTTGCACTGGAGAAGGCATCTGCCCTTGGGGTGCAGCAAACTGGGGATACTGGGACTAAACTACCCTGCTGCCCAGTCTTCCTGCACAACGTCCTTACCCAGTGGTGTGCCGCACTGGGGCTGCTCGACGTGACCCTGCGAGCCAAACCCGTGTGTGTGCACTGCCAGCTGGGCATGCCTGTGCGCCTTGGGCCCAGGAGGTGTCTGCCCAGCCTTAATGAGGGGTTTTGAGCTTGTTGCCTGGGTGCTTGGGAGCCGGGGTGGCTGGTTTTGATAAATGGAAGGGTAAATCTCCCTCCTGGGGGCCTGCTCTGTGCGGAGGAGTATGCACACAGCTTGCAGCCGTGGCCTCCTGGGAGCATCCGTCCGGCAGATGTCAGTCCCACCTGGTCCCCCTGCCTCTGTGGCAGCCCCTCTGCAAGCATCGCCTGCCAACGCCGGTGGCAGGCACAGGGCTGGGAGCTCTCAGGGCTATGGCTATGAAGGAGCAGATTCAGCAGTGCCTCTGGCGACACGGCAGCATTTCACGGCTGCCACAGCCCAGGCTGA